ATTTGGATCTTTAAAGAATCTTTAATGAGTATGGCACAAGCACATTTCATAACCGAAGCTATGCACAAATTAAATTTAAAAAATTTAATAGGCCTAACTATAGCCTATATATTGGATATAGGACAATTAATTGTGCCTACATCTGCTCTGTTAGGGGCCAACATAGGGTCTATTCGACCTATAGAGTGTTACTATTAGATCCAGTCAAACCTCCTACTCCTAGACATAACTAATTTTCTGGTATTTCATATTAAATGTTATACCAGTAATAAATATTGTACCGGTACCGGTATTCTTCATGTAGACTCACTTTCACCCATTGTAGAGAGGTCTTAAAATGATGTCAAAGCTTGATAGGGTATCGTTTAGTGTTTTAAAAGCCCTATGATATATCACCTAGTCCAGAATTGTTCGGTCAGGAATAGCCCATGCAGAGAGGTGGCTGCATCAGGCGGCCATGTGAGAGATTGGGAGGGGCATATAGGCCCCACATTGATAACAGAATGTAATCCTGTTAAAGTTTAAGGCTAGTATTTTTTCCTCATACTTGAGCGTGTCCCTTAGTCTACCCAGCTCTGGCGTTAGCTGGTCAAAAGTAAAGGTGGTTGGTTATTGCGCTGGCAATACACTCAAACTTGTAAACGCAGCTTCAATTTCCCCATGGGTAGGCCAATGTGATCTGAAGGGGAACTTTACTTCCCAAAGACTCGCAATGCATCCTACNAGTTAGAACAGCTTATACTATACAAAAGCAGGCCTATATCATAATGTACAGTTAGAACAGCTTATACTATACAAAAGCAGGCCTATATCATAATGTACAGTTAGAACAGCTTATACTATACAAAAGCAGGCCTATATCATAATGTACAGTTAGAACAGCTTATACTATACAAAAGCAGGCCTATATCATAATGTACAGTTAGAACAGCTTATACTATACAAAAGCAGGCCTATATCATAATGTACAGTTAGAACAGCTTATACTATACAAAAGCAGGCCTATATCATAATGTACAGTTAGAACAGCTTATACTATACAAAAGCAGGCCTATATCATAATGTACAGTTAGAACAGCTTATACTATACAAAAGCAGGCCTATATCATAATATACAGTTAGAACAGCTTATTCACAAGCAGGCTTATATCGTAATGTAAATAATTTTACAATTGCCAAACTTTTCACAAAACTTTACAAAGGATTGCCAAAACAATTTTCACTGATGTGTGAAATTTAATTTTATCAACAAAAGAAAGTTTTCATGAAGGTAAAGTAATCAATACAAATTGCCACAAATGCACTTAATCTGAGCTAGTAGATGGACTCATATAGCAAACATGAAATAAACAAATCGTACAGTGTGATTTAAAAGCAATAAAAGTGTTTGAATGACATTACAATAATAAAAAAAATTACCCCCAGCAAGCAATGCAAAACCATTTATTTGGTTTAGAATTGGTACGCAAACCAACACAATGGTAGTGGTATCACTCTAAACACCCCTCACACTCAATCATTTTAAACTCCCCATTGTCCCTTTCTGCACAAGATTTGCAGGTAAAAAGGTCTTTCTCTTTTTTTTTCTGCAACTCTGGCCTGCAGAATCGCCCATGCCTCTTGAACAAAGAGATTTTCAATAAATGAAAAGGAAATGCTGTCATTGGCAAAGACCGATATGTCTTCTGTTGACTTTATATTACATACGGAGTAAGGAGGAAGGGCAGTTAAATCTATGAGACATCCCGACAGAAGCATCTGCCTCTTGACTTCCCTTAATCTGGAATTGTAGACCTGTGGACAAGCTTTTCTTTTGCTGTACCTCCTGGTAAAAGCCTGTGTCTGTCTAGGTCTACCTTTTGTTTTGACCTGGGACAGTTTAACACTAGAAAATCCAAAAGATGATACAGCAGGGGATGAAACAGCGATAACAAAATCAGCACCAAGGCTTTCAGACGACACTGATGAAGTAGATTCACACACAGTGGGCAAGGAGGCAACACCAAGACTGTCAGAAGACAGAGAGGGAGGTGGCAGAGTCAAATTGGGCATAACAGCAGCATCGAGGCTTTCAGAAGACAGAGAAGGAGGTGGTAGTGGTAGAGACAAAGTGGTCAAGACAGCAGCACCAAGGCTTTCAGAGGACATGGAGGAAGCGGGCTCAGGTAACTCCGAAAGGTCAGTTTACAGCTACAGCACGGTCAGATTTAATGAGGGAGAAAACTCTGTTGAGATGAGGTAATGCAGTTTGAAAGGCATGCTCCCCCAATAAAGGAAAGAAAGATTCGATGTCCTTAGTTATTTCTCTAGTAAGATGGTAACGGGACTCAGGAGTGCTGGAATTTCTCATTGGAATGATTTCATGTGTGATACTGTGATCATTAGAGACATGAAGAACTGGATTGACAGGAGTGCTTTTAAAGCGTTCATTATTGCAATGATAGAGTGGCAGACAAAGATTAGACCGTAGAGCAAATATGTGTCGACAAGGTAAATGGAATTTAAAGAAGAAATCACAAGAACAGGAATCAATAGTGCAGTCGTACGAAGAAGAGCCAGGTGTTGATGATGACAAAATGTATGTGTTAGGAGAAGTTAGAGAACTTTGAAAAAGATAGTGAGTTTTCTGATAGAGAAGAAATTGTTCTATGACAATTTTTGCGCCAAAAGGAGTAAGGTCATTCTGAATTGTGTTAACAACATCAGAATTATATTTAGTGTTGTACTTTAAAGAAATAGAATGTATGCAAGCTGA